CACGTTCTTTATATTAATTAATAAAGAAAATAAGACGAATCTACGCACAAATGCAACTATTCAATTGCTCTTATACAAGTGCGTAGAAATATACATACATTCACGTCAATGTATGTTATGTATATTTAATATGTATATTTAATATATATATAAGTATGTATGTATATANTATATTTAAATATAAATCGAATTTTTCAATTCATTAGAAGAAAATTCTCTTCATCGAATAGAAAAGGGGAAAATGTCGTACGCGTTCCATGTTATTCCATATTTTTTTGTTTTTTCTTATTTTTTTTTTTTTTTTTTTAATCCAAAAAATGTAACGAGGTTGAATTCCACCTTCAATCTTCATGATTCATTGTAGAACTGGCTACATTTACTTTGACAGAATTATATTCTTAGTGAAGTTGTTTTTTCTTCTATTTTTTTCATTCTCTTTCTTTTCTTTTTTGTTAATTCGTCGGGCGTAAAAGTTTCGATTAAAAAGTCAAACAGAAAATTATCTTTCCTGATATACTCGACGACATACGGATAAAGGACGTGATAAAAACAACCGTTTAAACCACCCAAGAATATTTTTTTTCTGTTTGTTACTTCATTCACAAGAATAATTGTTTGATAATTTTATTTCTTTTTTTATGAAGGATATCCAAGAGAATCATCGATACTTTTAAAAAGCATACTAATTTTTTAAAAATACTAAATATCGAAACTTTCTAATGTAATTAATTAAGATTTAAGAATATCTATAAATTAAGAATTTAATTATGTATGCTTTTTTTTTAGGAAAAAGAAAAGAAAAAAGAAGAATTTAAGCATTACGATGATACTCCAAGATATCTTTTCATTTTTATCAATAAATATATATATATATATATATATATATATTTATTCATATATAATGTAAAAAGCTGTTTGTTAAGATTATGCTGAGATTTCAGAATAAAATATGATAAACATCCTAACAATAAAAATATAACGATATTAATACAGCATTGAACTTTTGGAACAGGCGTTACATTGTCCCTCGAAACATTTTTTCTGATAACGAAATGTATCAGACATTTTCCTGTTACATCGTATATAATACATATGATGATAAACATAATAAAATAATATTAATAATAAAATAGACATGTAAAAATCCAAAATTTTACAATCCCAAAGTGACGTGGAAACAAGGGGAACATAAGTTCGCAATGATAAGAATAGAAGAAAAAAACAAACAGTTGTAATTTTCGACTTTATATGAAGTTATTTAATACATAGCAAATCTTGTTAATTATTTCTTTCTTTCCTTCCTTTAATTGATGTAATTAATTTTCTGTATTAAACGTGCTTGGAGTCTTGCTTCGTTCTGAGATTATACGCTTATGAATTCGTGTAAAATTTGAAAAATAACTAGTTTATCAGTCATCGAAGTATGCACATCAATGAGAAGTTCATTTTTTATCCTTTTTTATTCGTATCTTTCAATTTTGGATATGCACATATTTATTCACTTTGGATCAGTATACAGCATCACTTTTATTTAAGTATCACGTGCGAAGGATTCTTTTGATTAACGACACATTCCGCAAAAGTCTGGACTTTTCTCTTTTCAGGCATTTCGCGTTAAGGCAATTAGTATACTTTTTTTTTACATATCGTTGCTTCACTATTTTATATATTGTTTCCAACTCATATATTATAAGAGAAATACGAGAAGTTATTAGAAATATCTGAAAATAGGTACGTGAAGCGGATAATATATTTAAATGAAGATATAAAATTATAATTGAATAAAAGATTCAAGGAAAATAAAAAAGAACGAAACGTATGATATTTTTAATACCTTTGGTTATTTGTAACGTCATAAGTAACTCGGTTTTGAATTTACCATCGAGAATGCCAGAACACGCGAAAGCATAAGACAAAAAAATTAAATCACACGCTACATATTTTGCATAACTTTTTACAAGTTTATATGTATATATGTATATGTATAATTTTACTTCATTTTCATCCACATCTTGCAGATACACCCACAAATCAAATAACATAAGATCAGAAAGTAATACAAGGGAAATTAATTACAATATGAAATGTACATAAATGATAAACGAGAAATATAGGCAAAAATTAAAAAAAAAAAAGGGGAGGAGGGAGCAGTAAAAGTTAAACATAATTGAAAAATAATTATTGCTCGTCTCGTTTGTACGAGCGTTTTCAGGTTCTACTTTCAGTAGAATCTTCACAAGTTTCGAATGCATTTGCGTGCGTCATACGCACATATTACGTACATGCATTTTTTGATTAAATTCTATGTAAAAGAAATATTAATTATACTTTTTGTATCTTTCAATTCAAAGAATACAAACATTCCTCAATTTTTCTTCGATACATTGTATAATTCTCATATATACCAAATCAATAAAGTCTCTATTATCGAAAAAAAGAGCGAACACACATACAAATATTATTTCGTTTCACATTATAAAATGGAGCGATTATAGATACATAAATGAACGTTTAAAAAAAATTCATATAATATTTTTAAAACATGTTTAGTGCAATATATTGGAGAAATTCAAAACAGTAACGAAAAAAAAAAAGTTCATAACAAATGCTATAAATAAATACGATTGATTTTAATGGAAAAAATGATTTAAGATTTATTTAATTAACATTTTAGCACCCAATTTAATCCCTCCATTTTAAAATTTTAATTTATTCAATTGAAATATATCAAGGGATGGTCCGCCAACTTAATTTTTACTTTAATTATTGATTTTGAAATAATTTAAACCTCGATAATTGGTTACTTAAAACTTTTTTAACAAAATGCATATAAATTTTTATAATACCATAAATTATAGATTAAAATTGTTAATATTTTTCTTTAAAATAATGTCTGATGATTAAGATACGTTAAATACGTAAACGGACCAACCCAGATAAATTTATAAATCTTTTATCATTAAACATATTTCAAAGATATATATGACAATAATAATTAATTTTTAAGAAATGTATTTAATATTCGACGACCAAAAAAATTTTACCAGTTTAAATTAAACACAATTAAACTGGTGCGTATGACGGGCAGTGCGTCTTGTGAATTGTTAAAGTTTCTACATTCCCGAGGTTTTACATGTTAAATAAAACTGAGTATTTTATCAATCTAATTCTGTTCTAACAAACCCATACAACCACCAAACATAAAACGCTAATATAATTATATTATTATTATTTTTACCTGCCCGTCTCTAGCCTCGATTAAGTTATTGTAAGTGGATATAATATCGATGTAGAACGTGGCAAGACTCGCTGAAGAGCGTGTACGAGGAGCAGAGATTGAGAAAGTTCCATAAATAACGGTTAATGAACGTTATGTGAAGATTCTAATTAAACAATTATAAAGAACCAAAATAATATTAAAATTATTATAGATAAAAATAAGTTCTGATTTTTATCGGTTCTGATTATAATGTTGCACTCTCTTATTACATCGATTTTGTAAAAGTTAGATTCCTATCATTTTGTTTTTCAATTCACTTTTTTTTATATAGAATAAGATACAAGAACAAATTTTGATTTACACTAAATAAAGAAATTCAATGATAAAAAAATATATTGTAAACAAATTCTGAAGAATAAGTATTAAAATAAATGGACCAAAAGTGAAATATAGATATATTCTTGAACAATTAATGAACAGTTTTGATTTGAAATCTATAGAAATAAATATTTTTGTATAAAAAAATATTCTATATCATTTTGTTAAAAGGACAAATAATCAATAATTATAATTGTTACAAAATTAATATTTAACTGATATATTATAAAAATTAATAATGTTAGTGTTAACAATATCTTAAATTAATACTAAATTAATGTTCAATCAATTCAAAATTGATATATAATTAATGTATTTTTAGAAACGTACAGAATTGATACATAACTGATTTATAAAACATAACAAATTCCAGAAATGTATCCATAACCGATATAGGTCCTGCACCCTCAGAACTTTCTTCACCTACAACTGTTACATTATGTCGGTTCTTACAACTGTTTCGAGAATCCGAACTCATATTATAACCGTTTTCAACCTCTAGCGAGGAGTGTATATGACTGCAAGAAGTGAGTTATTTACATTATTTGCATATGTCGGCGAATCAGCCCTTGCCCTTGTTCCATGTCACGTAACGACAAAAGATGGCGAGATTAGAGTTTTGAGAAGTGATAAGATAGGGAGGGTGAGGAGGAGGGCATTGAATAATTATTAATATATAATATTATAATAATAACAATAATGATGAGGTGTTCTAAACAGTGCTAGGACTAGTGCTAGAGGGTCCTGTGAGGAATCAGGGTGGATGGGTACGGGCTAAGGAAGGGTTAGTGTGGGGGCGGAGGTTCCGTAGATTGGTTTCTGCCATCTACAGCTCTAACCGGCTTCCTACGTGAAGGACCTGTTACGCCAACTGGACCAACTCCACCTCTAAGGTACGCTGGCGCTGGAGTTACTATCGGTTCTCTGATAGTTCTACTATATGGTAGTGACAGTGGTTCCTGCAATACCTATATAATAAAATACAAGTGCTAAATTATATTTATCATATTTCTTTAATACGAGTTATAAAATTAATTATATGTTTAACATTATATATTTAACTTATTTATATTTATTATTTATACTTACCAATGATTCAGGTAATACACTATGCATCAGTGTTTGAACCATAGGTGTATTTTGTAACGCAAGGTTATTAGAATTTGGAGGCAATCCTTGACTTTGAAGACCTGTCCCTACACTACCAGCAGTAGTAGTCTGAACAGTATGTGATTGTTGCGTAGATGTCTGCGTTACATGTTTATTCATTGTTTGATCCCTTTTCGCTTCTTGAGTTACATTTAATTTCTTTGTAGAAATTGTGGAAGAATTAGCATTTGGTGTTTCGGGACTGTTTGTAGCAGTAGTTGCACTTGATACTGGTGTTTGTGCTACAGATTGTTCCTGTGTTAATTCCGGCAATGTTTGACAAAGTGTTCCAAGAATAAGTTCGCACGTAAAAAGACTTCTATTTGCACTTTCACGTTCAATATTTTGCAACTGTGAGTCAGAGAGAGAACTGGTAATACATCTATAACAAGAAAAAAAATACTTATATATAGAATTAATCATATTTAATATAATAATTAAATAAAATTCTAAATAAATATAAAATTATTGTCCTTTGAAAACTAAAAAAAGATGTACCTGTTTCATTCACCATATTTTCATGGAATTATCTTAAATATTTTTGGCATCTCACGCATTGATCATGATATGCAGTTTTGCAAATTTAGACAAAAGATTTTTAAGAATATATACACGCGATTGTAATGCGCAAAAATATGTTTATAAAGATATTTAAATATCAAATAATAATTTGGATGTTTTTTTTGTCTAAATATATTATTGTATATATTAACATTAGAATATAATACATACTTTGGCAATAGAAACATATAGTTCTGTGAACTGGTAGATGATACGCCGGACGGGTTCGCCACATTATTTGTATTATTGTTACTAGTCGTACTATTTGCTACCACATTGGTCATAGTAGTAGAATGACCACTTCCACTAATAATTCCTCCACAACTTGCAGAACCAAGAACTTGAGTCTGCCTCCTAGGTAACCGCTCCAATTGTTGTCTAGCAGCCTAATAAAAAATATTTATAAAAATTTATATTTTTATTTATTTTAAAAAAAAATTGCTTCGATAAAATTTTTTATCAAGTAAATTAAAATCATTTCATTGAAAAATTTCTTTTATTATTAAATTATAATATATAATATAATAGTATTAAATTATATATTATATATATTAAATTATACATACTCTAACTTGTTGTCGTTCTAACTGTAGCTGCATTTGCAATTGATGTAATTGCGTTGGTGCTGACGAACTCTGACCAGTTCCTCCACCACTTCTACGAACACCGGATAATTGAGAAAGTAATTCTGTAATTGGATCTATACCTTCTCGACTACTCGGACTCAATCCTCCAGACGAACTGAAATGCATATTGGACCTGCAGGTCCAATGATACGCCAATGAACATTATCTAAGATGAGATGATGATGAACTGAAGCTGAAATCTTGCTATTTTTAATGCTATTTTTTAGTTCTTCTTAGATATTTTAAAAATAAAAACATATTTTGCTTTAACAGTTATTATATAATATATAATAATTGTTTTATTATATTTTAATAAATAAATAATGACAATGATTGATAAATTACAATATTAATATATAATAGACAAAAAGTAATACTCAAAAAAATACATGCATCAACATATTAAAAAATTGATATACTGATATAGTTTATGATAATTAATATTAAAAAAAAAATAAATTAATAAAATAGTATTTCATTTTTTATTTATTTTTTATTTATTTTTAACAAAAAATAATTCTTTTTATTTCTTTTCAATTTTGATTATAATATTCATAATATTTATAACAATATATTTATGCATATATATTAAAAAATATATACAAATATATATATAAATACATTATTATAAATAATGTTGTAAGAGTTTAATTGAATAATCATATATATCAGCAATATATATACCTGCGAGGCCGTGGCCCACCAACAACTCTAGATGAATGTGTTATCCGTCTACCAGTATATCTACTTGAAGCTGGTTCATCTAGAAAAGAGATCAAATCTCTTGGTCCACTACGATGTTCCAAACTTAAATGACCCGCAAAATCATCAGTCACGTTATTCGGATCCCCTCCTGGAATAGATGCACATACTGGGCAAACCTATAGCAAAATTAAAATTTGTAATTTTTTGTTATAGAATGCATTATAAACAGTATTATATTATATATACATACAACTTCAAATGAAGTATCTGAATGATCTGCAGCAACATGTTCTTGTAGTGTAGCTTCAGTGAAACCCATTCTTGTACAATAAGGACAAGTTAAAGATTGCGGTTGTTCTACACTTACTGCTTCTCCACCATAATATAATTCTATTAAATATTAATTAAATAATAAGAATTAATTATATATATTAAATATGTTTGAAGAAATTATAATAGTATATAAAATTTAATAATCAACTTACCGAACTCAGATCTAGTAAGTATACACTGCATAGGATGATCACTGTGGTGACGTGTAGTACTGGCACCTCCTTCGTAACAGTTGGCACACAAATCATAATCGTAGCATACGAGGCACTTATATCTGCGACCCCGAAAATTCCCCTTTAAGCAGGCGTCACAACTTACCCCTGGAATAAATTATACATTAATTCATATTTTATATTAATAAGTTTATAATTTAAATTTATTAATAATAATAATATTATTAATAATATTATTAATAAAATATATTATTTATATATAATAATAATTAATATAAAATTAATATATAATAAATATAATAAATAATATAT